ATCACAACATCTCTGATTGGGCTTTGACTCCCATGAGAGCTGTCTCAACCGTTTACAATGTACGCACGTAATTAACTAACATCTATCTATATATATCCTCAGTTGTTAATCGATCATTATAAGTACTTAATTTGAAACTTTGCTATGTATGTATAATGATGGACATGCATGAATGCAGGGGTTAGTGTATTCAGCACTAGCAATCCTGCTGACTTCATGGTGTGTAGAGAGGAAGGGGCCTTTGTATGTTGCGGTTTTCAACCCTTTGCTGCTCGTCTTTACTGCCATTCTCAGCTGGGCTTTTCTTCGCGAAACCATACATACCGGCACGTAAGTCTACTATATATCAGATTAGACTATAAAACACAATTTAATAATAGACATCCACCTGCGGGCAATAGGAGGCCTTCCAGGTCAAATAAGACCGGACCTAAAAAGTAGGGTCCAATTAAAAACATGTACGTATATCATCCGCTGGCTAAACCAATAATTGCACCTGCTGGTTTTATTTGTTATTTAAGTTTTAATTTTGAGAGGGGAAAAGACTCAATTATTATGCATGTTTTGTTTGTTAATATTATTATATTATAATCCAGAGTGTTGGGGTCAATCCTAATTATAGCGGGGCTCTACGTTGTTCTGTTGGGAAAGAAGAATGAGGTGGACGTGATTAAAGTAGAAGAAGACAAATTGAAGGAAGCAGCAGGCGAAAGAGAGTGCTAATCAATTGATAATTGTGCTAGCGTAGCTAATGTGGGGCTGCGAACTTTATGACCGATCATGAACCCAACAACATAGGAGTATATACTCCGTATTAGTTATCTACACGCGATTTGGTAGATGCCAAGTGTTCAAAACTTGTACGTTGTATTTTCATATAATTGTTTCTAGCATTTAGCATGTGGAATATTACTCAATTGCACACAAATTTTATGTATGTGTCAGGCCCGATCTTGACGGGATAAAGGCCCTGTTCAAAATCAAATAGGAGACCCTAAACTATAGAGTATAATATATAAAAAAATTAAATGCATGTAAAACTAAAATACAAATACAATTATTAAAAGATAATCATGTTGGAAATTTTGGGATATTTCAAATAAATATATAATATTTCCTTTTTTGGAGAAAATTTATAAAGACTTAAAAGATTATTTTTCTTTTCCATATTAAAGCAATGGAAGTCACAGATCAAATTATTGATGTTGTTTACACTTGGCCGCTCATATATTTCTAAACGTTAGCTTACTTTTAATTTATAACTATTAAATTCCCTTTTAAATGATGAAACGTTTTCTTTTATTTTTTGTATTTAATCTCCTTTATTATGGATTAAGTGCTCCTCTTTGTGAATTAGTATAAAACCACGTAGATGTATGTGTTTTGGGAGATGAATCCTTTTGGTCTTAGTGGAAAGCTACGTACAACGTACAAGGGAAAACTCGATATCATACCTACATTGTAAAATATATACATATGCATATACTTGAAAGCAAGAAGTTCAATTGAGGGTTTTGAGTCCTGGCTACGATATATACATATATGAAAACATACGTATGGAGAAGAACTTTGGGATTTTTTATTTTGAATGATAAAGTGTCTATTTGTGAAGCACCACACCCGCGCAGGTCACAACCTCATCGGCGAGGTCCATTAATTAATCTCGCACCACATTGTTGTACCTTCACTCTTTTGTTGTGATATTTGTTTGAACTTTGTGACCCAAACATTCAAACTGAAATATTAATTGACTACCCTACTGTAATAGACAACAATGAATTGCTTTTTATCACTTGGCTTTTGTAATGCATTTGCACATCTTTCCCACAGAATGCAACGTTCTCGTTCTTTCCTTAGATTGGGCATCACACGTCGCGCAAGGCGCGCCACCGAGCTAGTATATATATATATATATATATATATATATACACATATATTATTAGACATATATATTTGTTTCCTATTATGTATTCAACTCTTTTAATACATTCTGATGTGTGGCAATCTCCTGTGTTGTCTAATTTAGGATTTAAATATTATGTGTGTTTTATTAATGATTTTTCTCATTTTACCCGGATTTATCCCTTGCGCAATAAAAATGAGGTTTTTACTCAATTTCGTCTTTTTAAATCCATTAGAATTATATTTAGCCTTATCCCTTGCGCACTGTCGCTCTTGCTCACTTACTTGCTCCCTTGTCTGTGTGGATCCCTCTATTCCCCCATCTTTATCACCTCCTAGTTTATTTGATTTTTTAGAAATTACTTCAAATAGGACTAAAACTATGTCAAAAACTCAAAATAGGACTTGCTATGTTTTTATTCCAAAATAGGACCATAGTGGTCCTATTGGAAACATACTCATTTCTTCCTTCCATTCTTACCCCTCCTTTAAATATTAGTAAAAGATAGCTAAAAGTCATAATTAAATGTTTAATTCATAATAAATCCGAAAAAATTTCAATAATTCATAATAAAAAAATCTATAAATAAAAAATAAGGATTTTTTTTGAAAATTAATCAAAAATAGTAAAACTCCATAAAAAAATTAAAAAAAATATGGATACCTTTCCCACCGCCTGTACTACCTCCCTGAACCACCACCTCCGATCGGTGTAAAAATGCCACTTTTTTTAAATTCCACAAAAATGGAATATTTCTCTATGCCAACATTTTCATTCTGCCAACTTGAATCCTTTTGACTTTTGCCAAAAATATGGCATTCATAATTTTTTGGCATTTTTTTACCCCGGTGACAGGAGGTGGTGGTACTGCCTCCCTGCACCACCACCTCTGACCGTTAAAAAAATGCCATATTTCCTACAAACTTCCATTTTTTTCAGAAAATGCCAAAAATATGACATATTTCTCTTTGACAATGCCAACATTTTTTTTGTCATCTTAAATCATTCTGAATTATGCCAAAAATATGGAATTCGTAATGAATTTGGCATTTTTTCCCAAATGACTAGAGGTGGTGGTGCTGGGGCGGCAGAGGCGGCGGTGACAAAAAAATTTGATTTTTTTAAGTTTTTTATTTTTTTAAAAAAATAATAATTTATTATTATTCAAAATTTTTTTATTAATTTTTTGGTATATTTTACGAATTTTTATTATTTTTTATTATTTTATTATGAATTAAAACATTCCAATAGATATAAGGGTATATTTTTCCAACACACACATAATTAGTCCTATGGAAACATAGTTTATTTTTTGGTCCTATTTGTGCAAAGTGAATGACTTTTAGTTCTATTTTGATAATTAACTCTTGATTTTTCTACCAGAAGTCACTTATTTCCCCCACTTCGACTACTAGATCTATTGTATGCTCTCATCCACGACCCAAATTCTTTTATTTGTTCCGAGTTTGGTTGTGCTAGAATTTGAGGAAAGAAACCATCGGCATGACCTGTGATAGCATAAGCAAAACAAAAGTTGAGAAGTTTTTCATATCTCAGATATACCCATATAGACAATCCCCGTTCGATTTTTGAACTTTCAAAATTTTCCTAAGCGGATTCCTTATATATATCAAGGCGAACCTAAATCCTCAAGTAGGCCCCCCAACGTCCCGCAAATTGGTTTTCATTAAATTTAACAAAACTTCCAAGATTATTACCAATAATTTTAGCAACCCTTAAAGTCAAATGCCCTACTGGTAGATTGTGCACTTCATGGGACTCTTACTGCATCCCACTTCATAGGAAAATCCTTGAAACAACTTTTGGTCAACATGTTATCAATAGAAAGTCATTCTTTCTACAAATAGAAAGTGTGTAAATATACTGTTGTAAGAGGTCAAGACCTCCGTTGTGTATTCTATAAGGTGAAACACTTTAAAAGTCTAGTCACCCCCCAGACTTTAACCTTTACTATGGACCATCAGATTGTGAGTGAATGAGTTATTGTAATTGTCAATGTGGGCGTCAGAGGTAACTAGGGGCGGTGGACCACTGGTGGTGGCTAATCATCGGAGGTTCAAAGGGTAATTGCGCCGCCATAGTCACTAATAATGACAGGTCATTGGTCACGATGTTGTGGTGTCACTGGCTAAGGGGAGCAGGGTGTCATTTGGCCATGGGCGAGCACCGGTGGGCCCATTGTAAATGTCACTGGTGCTACAATAAAATTTTAATGATGAGAAACAAATAGCTTAGAGAGTATAGATGTCATATAAGTGGATTTTTGAAATTTTATATAGTTGATTTTTTTTTGTGTTGCGTTTCAAAAACCTTTAAAGTTATAAATTTTTGGGAAAAAGTGCAAATATGCCCATGTACTAACCAAAAAAGGTCAAATAAGCCCTAATTTAGGAGGCTATGTCCGGCCGTCGTCATTTGGGGTGGTTCTCGGTGGAATTTTTTGATGAAATTTTTTGAGCATCTTATTCATTAAGTCTAGTTTACTCATACCAAATTTCAGCTAAAACTTCAATCGGGAAGGCATTCAAATGAATTCTTAAAGATAACTGCGCTTCTAACTGCGCAGTTATTTTTGAAATGAATGATGTTATATTTATACATACAAATAATTAATTAATACTCCGTATATAATTTTTGTACTTTATTACACTCATTTTTAGTAATTTTCTCTCCTTCACTAGCAATTTTACTCCTAATTTTACTCTCAATTAAGATTTAAAATATGTAAGTATATGTATATATACAATATTTGCGTGTATATATATAATATGTTATGACTTGCGAGCACACTCTAAAAGGAATTGGGCTAGAGCTCAAACTGATTGTTTAACGAGTTGGCACGACTTCAAGATTGACCGAACTCGATTAAGTCGAGTTTCGATCGAGCAGTTCACTAGTAGCTCACGAGCGGCTTGGCTCATTTGGGCACCCCTACTTTTGAGGTATCATATCTTGTACACAAGGATCAATTGGAATATTATAATTTGATAGTCGAAACATAAATAAATGATGAAACAATGATATGGATTATTATAGGTATATGATAGCTCAAATTTGTTTTTTTTTTGTTTTTAAGAAGCACACACATATACATAGCAAGTACACAACGAGAGAACCAATAAAAAAATCCATATGTTGAGCTTAAATGTCGGGTCTGTGTATGGGAAACTGGTGGGTAACATTAATCTTGAACAATCTCTCAAACTTCAACCTCACATTACACAAGAGATTAGAATTCGTTGGTGATTACACTATAAGAAGCTGTGCATGCTCTAAAATCATTTACCACCTACTCCCTCCGTAACATAAAGATCTTCCCATTTTGACTTTTCACGGTCTTCTAAGTTGAACTTTGACTGCAAATATCTACATATCTATATTTATAAAATTCATAATAAATTAACATTCAAATAATATATTTTACAATGAGTTATATCAAATAAATTTTTAATCATAACATAATGTGAGTTTTGAATAAATAATGGTCAAAGTTCATAAAGTTTGACCCAAAAAAGTCAAACCGGGAAGATTCTAGCGTTACGGAGGTAGTAGCTAGCTAGCTGCATATCAAACCTTATTAAGGGTTATCAACCCTTAATTAATTCTACCTAGCTAGCTGGCTGCACATCAAACGTTATTAAGGGTTATCAACCCTTAATAAATTCCTACATCCATATAACGTTGGCCTAAAGGCCGGGTTCGATCTCCATACATAAATATTTCAGTACATGCATAAAAATGGATATGAAATATAATAAAAAGACTCTAGGATTATCAATCCTGGCCCTTTTGGTGGCAGTGGTTGTCGTTTCCACGGCCGTTTATGTGACACAAAAAGAGGAAACCCCGGCGGGTGATCACAGCAGTGGGACCAATATGTCATCGTCCGCCAAAGCTGTGGAAGCAGTGTGCAAGCCGACGTTACACAAGGAGGTGTGCATGGCCAAGCTCTCCGCCGCCACTAACAGCACCGACACCAAGGATCTCGTGGAAGTCGCGTTCAACGTCACGGTCCAAGAGATATCCGACGTCATGGCCAAGTCTAAGCTTCTCCGCAATGCCGCAAAAGATCCCCGGACCTCCAAAGCCTTCGACGTCTGTCACGATCTTCTAGAAGACTCCATTGATGACATCAAGCGTGCCTTGAATAGACTCACAGACTACACCTCAGCAGCTACCAATCTCGACCTCTTCATGAATGACATTAAGATTTGGCTCAGTGGCGCATTAACATTCGAGAACACTTGCCTTGACGGATTCCTGGGCACCCAAGGTTATATATAAAGATAAACACACTACACTACATATACGCATATATATAGGATTGTTTAACTTAAAATCTGGTGGAGTAGCTCATATCTTAAAATAGCACTTTATTAATTCACAATTTTCTCGGTGTGGGTCTTCACCACCCCTTCTCACGACCAAACATTTTATCTGAGTCGTGTCATCATTTATTATTCATCGGTTTGTCATTGCATTCTAAATGACAATTTAATAAGAGGAATAGTCAATATTTTAATATAGTATTTTATTATTTCACAATTTTCCAACGTGAGCCTTCAACATTACTTCATATAAAATGATTTATTAAATCTTTAATGATCAGGTGATAGTGGTGATAAGATGAAACAGCTATTGGTGACCGCTCAGCAGCTCACAGGCAATACCTTAGAAATGGTTGATGAGATTCATCAGGCGTTGACGGCACTGGATATTCAAGGTCTTAACCGAAAACTGTTGGTGGTGAATAGTAAAAAGTGGCCAACGTTCTTGCCTACAGGTTGGTGGAATAGCGACGATGAAATCACCCTAAGGCGCAGTATGCTTCTGGAATCTGGTTCTGATTATTCTAAGGCAGCCGATGTTATTGTGGCTAAAGACGGGTCGGGGAAATACACGACGATCAATGAGGCGCTAAATGATATCCCTCTCGAGAGCACAAAGCCTTTCGTCATATACATAAAATCTGGTGTCTATGCCGAACATGTAGTTCTTGAAAAGAAGATGACAAATGTGGTTTTCGTAGGAGATGGTCCCACAATCACTAAGATCTCTGGAGACAGAAGTTATGTTAGTGGTTACCAAACTAGTGAAACTGCAACCCTCAGTAAGTATATACTCTGTATATAGAACTTCATCATATCATTAATTGTACAGCATCCCAAATGGATTTTCAAAGTCAATATTTTTAATTTTGACATGTTAAAGTTCAATCCCCTCTATTGATAATTAATTCAATTTTTAATAATTAAAATTTACATATTCATAAACTACATTAAAATCTCTTCAAATTTGCATACTCCAAATTAGAATATAATTAAGAATTGACATCCTAATTAAGTGAATAAAATGAAACCGTTTAACTAAAAAATCAATTTTGCAAATCAATTTGGGATGGATGGATGTCATAAGTAATAAAGTTGTACGTACAATTCAACCCATGCATGTGATGTGCAGCAATCAAGGGTGATGGTTTCATTGGAAAGGACATAGGCGTTGAGAACACTGCCGGCCCCAGCAGCCATCAGGCCGTGGCTCTCCGGGTCCAGGCCGATCGCGCGATGTTCTTCAACTGCCAAATTGACGGCAACCAAGACACCCTCTACGTCCACGCCCACCGACAGTTCTACCGGGACTGCACCATCACCGGGACCATAGATTTCATCTTCGGCAACGCTGCTGCTGTCTTCCAGAACTGCAGCCTCATCATCAGGCGTCCCCTCGTCACCGACGGTTCAAGTCAATCCTGCATGGTCACGGCTCAAGGAAGGTCACAGGCAGACGAGCCCACCGGAATCGTGATTGTCGACTCCTCCATCACCGCATCGCCGGAGTACTTGAGCTCCACGGCCCCGATCGTGTCATTCCTTGGACGGCCGTGGAGGCAATACGCAAGGGTAGTGATCATGAATACGAAAATCGATGTGCGCATATCTCCAGAGGGGTGGGCCCCGTTCCAAGGGACGTTTGGGCTAGAAGACTGTTGGTACGGAGAGTTTGGGAACAGCGGAGAGGGAGCGGACGTGAGCGGGAGAGCCAAGTGGGCTGGAATCAAGGGAGCCATTAGTGAAGAGGTTGCTGAAGGATTTCTTCCTGGAAATTTCATTCTTGGAGATTCTTGGATCCCTCTTACTGCACTGCCTTATGCTCCCGGCTTCATGCAAGGTGGAGGAGCTAGTGGGGGTCATGGGTGGGCAAGCGTCCCCGCACCGAGTCCAGAACACTACTAGTACTTATGTAATAGAGATCTGCCCCGCTTCATTTCCATTTGAATAATATTAATTTTTATATGAGTCTTTAGATTCAAATGTTGTAGAAAGTGGCATAAAGAAACACTTTTGCCTTGAGGAAGAAAAATGCACTATTATTTAAAACCAATACCATTTTGATCATAAGTATTACCTAAATAGGACAATCTTATCTGGAGCATTAGATTGAAATGAAGCATTCTCACTAACGTTACACTATAATGAACTACTTTATGATTATTTTTTACACCGCCCGTCTTAAAACGAAGTCTCCATTTCAGTTTATGATGCATTAATGAGGGTGAATGTAATTCTTCTCTAACAATATTTAAAATTAGATAAACAATCAAAATTTTATATTTAGAAACTGCACTAATATGAATAGCAAAATCACACAAGAGCACTAGAATAGTCTTGCATTTGGGCCCATATTTGTCATGAAATATCACATATTTTGGTGAGGAAACGGCTTCTGCATAGATTCACCGATGACTCAACAATGCCAAGAAGGCCTAGCACAGATTCGTCAATACATCTGAGGTGCAACTATGGAGAAGTTTAATTATAGTGAACCTAGGTAAATTCAAACTTTAAAAAATACGTAAAGCAATTACTAATTGACCCCTTTTGTGAGAAGTACCAGAATGTGAGTGCTTCTGCGCTTAGCAAAAGTCCAGCGTATATTCGATGCTCGCCTGGGCGTAAACAATTAAGCATGCTTTTTTACGCTTTTAAGAAATTTTCCCGGATCTGATTTAATATGCTAAAAATTGCTCTTTTGAAGTTGTGGTTTAAATGGAGAGCTGCTTAGTTTTCTTTTTAAAAACTATTTCAAAATACATTTTAAGTGAAATATAAAATACGTAATATAATATCTAAAAAAAGGCTAAATGTAACTTTTTCTTAAAGGAGGCTAAATGTAACTTATGCACTACTTTTTCCATTGTCGGTCACAGATTCATCCAGCACAGTGATAATAGTTGGTGCTCAGCAAAAGCTGGTTAATATAAAGCCTAAACTAAGTTGACTGGGGATTTGATAATGAGGAGATTATTTGTTACACAAAGTTGGACTTTTAATGAATGGTGATTTTCATATTTTTGTAATTAATGCAAAGGTCAATAATGGGGATGTAGAGTTGAGAAGAGGCGGAGCAGGAGAGTTAAATGTGTACACTGGTGCAAACCCATTCTACGTCCAACATCTTCGGGGGAATGAGGGATAAAGTCAAACTCCACTTATCACCACAAAACAAAGCAAATCTCCCATATTGAAAGGAGGGATGGATTTAGGGGGGGGCGGGGGGCGACCGCCCCCTTAGACTTTCAAATTTTTCTACTATATATGTAATATTTTCAAACTTTAGTTAAATATATATGTGTTCGCCCCCTAATCTTTTAGTTTTTAAAATTAATATATAAGCTCACATAATGTAATATACTACACTTAGTTGGAGATTTAAAATAAGTAAAATCTAAAATAATTTAAATAATTTAAACAAATAAACAATAGAACAAGTCATTGTTTAAGACTTGGGATACCTATTATATCTAAATTCTTAGTTTTGTAATGTTTAATTATCTTTATTAGATAATTAGTACTCGATATGTAAAATATCAATGATATTAAATATCAGACACAATAGTTAAACAGTTTTTAGATGATTCAAAGTAAATCCAAAATATATGATAAAAAAAAAAGTAAATCCAAAATATAAATATTTGTTGACACTAAATTACACAATCAATTTACTTCTTACTTTAATTTGTAAAAACAATTTGTTGCATAGATAATAAGTTTTAACTTATTTTAGCATTAATATAGATATAATATGTACCATGTATATATGAATTAACAATACTACATATCATATTATTCTGAAACTAATAATTTCATACACACTATTACACTATTTTAATATTAAGAAAACTCCTCGTGATCCATTAATACCCTCTTTCATAGACAAAAATTATACTTCAAAAACTAATTCTTTATTGTGATAAGATTCATGTGGTTAAACAAAGCATAAATTATTTAAAAAGCATCGGTCCATGTGTACCTTGTAAACTCTTTACCTTCAAATAATTTGATAAAATGTTATATCCTTTCTTATTTTAAAATAATTTTCTAGAACACTAACAATTATTAAATCAAAATTATTTTTCCATTGTCTAAAATTAGAATGTGATATAATAGATTTAAATGTCATCGTGTATTAACTCATGGATTTTTTTAACAAAATCTAGCCGCGGAGTCCTACCCTAGCGAAAAAAATCGCCCCACTACACTAGAGAATTTTTTTTCGCCCTGCTAGACTAGAGGAAAAATATTCACCTCCTACACAAACGAAAAAATTTCGCCCCCCTTGACTCGAAATTCTGGATCCGTCCCTGATTGAAAGGGCACCCAGAGGTGAGAAGAACAAGAGGGGTGGAAAAGAGAACCGTCATGGTAGCTCATCTCCTCGTCCCAGTTCCAACAACTCAAACCGTAGATTCGCTATGCAGAGTCGGCGGAAGAAGTAGATGTACTCCTGTTGGTAAGAAGAGAAGAAAGTCCCAATTGTTGGAGCAGCCAGTGGTCTTGCATACGGGAATGTCATGTGAGTGAACATTTCCAGGTTTGCAGTGTGATATCAACTATCAAGTACCTCTTCACGTTGTCTATTTCACATCCTGGAGTTTGTTCTGTTATATATTTCAGGTGTATTGATTTTTAGAACTTTTAGGTAAAACAATTCCTCAGCTAACTTGCCAATGTGTATTGATTCCCTCTCCTAACTTGCTATTAGCGTAGTGGTTGTACCTAAATACCAATGAAAGAGCATTGTAGCCATTAGTTTATTTCAGATTGATTCCTTTCAGGCTCATCTTGTAAACGTTAAGGTGTATCTGGTTCATTCAAGTTTGCTGGCTTTTACTAATGTGGGAACTGGAAAGGTTCACATTCTGAATTTTGTACTATTATTCTACCGAATTGAATATACATTCTCTCTATCTTTTCTACTATACTCGACCACTTGAAACTCATCATTGTGTGATACGTAAGAAAAGACCTGTTTGCCTTCTTATGTAGTAATTCAATTGCGCAAAAATCATTCATTTCAATTCATCTGAAAATGCCTGTCATTTCTTTCTAAAGCGAAAAAAATGCTTCATATAAATTCACTTCTTGACAATAATTTGAATCACGCCATTATGATTTTATTGACTATTAATTGATCTCCATGAGAAGGGTAGAATATGAGAAATCAACATAAGGGTTGAAAACATGCCCTTGTTTGTTAACTTTTAACTGCATCTAGTAGGAACTAGGAAGCATGATAGATTGAAGCTGAGTTTTCTCATGTTGCAGTGAAGGCATGTCTCAAAAGGTTCCTAATGTTCCACAAACAAGTATAGCAGCGACCTAATTTGTGGTAGGATAACAAGACTTAGTTTATCATGTTCCAGGGGCAAAAGTGTACATACACAATGGCAGGTCTAAGAAGGAGGTGTCTCTGTAGGAAGATATAATTGTACTTGGAGGCATGGCATATAAGTCATAACTGTGGTTCAATAACATCTTACAACTTCATTCAGAAGCTCTACGATTTCTTCAATAAGTGTGGTTTTGAAATGTCTCAAGATGTGAGCATTTTTTTATGTTGTTCAAACTTTTGGTAAGAATATAATGACGGAGGTTTGAAATTTCATTATAGATTGTTGGTCAGATACATACTTGTGAACACACCAAATCACCAATAATGCTACGATATTGCCCGCTGACGTTTTCCCACATCAAAGTGAACATCCAGGAGACCTCTTATCCCGGCTTCTATCTTTTGTCCTACCATAACTGGACCAACACCCTCAGGAGTGCCTGTTGAAACACACACACAAAACATTAATTCAAGTGAGTGTCCAACCCCTCCCTTGTGATATACAAATTTTATACACTAGCCCCGTGTGTTTTGAAAAATGCATCAAATCTTGGCACATTAGTACTAAAGTAACTTTGGATCCTGGGAAAAAAGGAAAGAAAGTGAATTTGTTATGTTTGGTTTAATCTTAGAAAATGCAACAGAAAATGAAACATAATTAGTGATTTAAATAAAATTGTTCATACTAATCTTTGTTCTCTTTTAGTTACAACACTTACTTTTACGGCTGAGGATGCAAAATACAATCACTACTATAATTAATTATGTAACAGCAAAAATTATACAAATTTGATCTTTTATTAATATACATCGTGACAAATTTAATAATATTTATATAATACTCCCTCTGTCCCACACACTTTGCCATCTTTGATTTTTTAGTCAATCAAATAAAACTTTGACCAATGATATATTTTTATAGAAAGTTATTTATAATGTAAAAATGATATGAAAATATTTTTTGTTATAAATACTTTCATTAAAATATAAAATTTATATCTTTCATAAAATTACTACCATTGACTTGAAAAGTCAATGATGGCAAAGCTTTAAGGGACGGGGGTAGTATGATTTACATTTATATACATGTAAAACAATTCTAGTTATAGTAAGGTATATGAATAGTGCAAAGTGAAAGCATTTTCGATCAAAATTACTCTAAGTATGACACTTTTTCCCACGATCTAAAATAAACTTCTAGATTTTTATCTTATATTTTATTTTCACCCATATTTCCTGCCCTTCATTTTTTTGCTCTGTCTTGCTTCCTTTTTCCTTTATTAGTTTTCTCAAGATCCTAACGGAGCTTAAGAAAGTTTCTGAGTGAAAATGATAAGAAATGTATGAACTTGTGTTTTGATTCATAGAAATGTAAAGCAATACAGAGGGAGAAAAACAGCAGTGTAGATGTGTATGGTAGTTATGACTTGTGATCTATGAAAATATATGTTAAAGTATTAAGCTTTGACCCTTATCCTATAAACAGTTAAGCGTTACACATAAAGCAAACATCTACCAGACTAGACTTAAATAGACCAAACAAGATTACAAAATTTCCATCTAATTAAAAACATCCTTATATTTGCTCACACCTTTTCAAGATTGACTGCACACACAACTACTCCGTATAAGAATTTCCAATGTTTGAACTTCGAAAGAAGAAAAGGTTTGTATTTAGGGCAGATTGGCCATACACAATAATGAAGCAAGTAAAGTTAAAAAATCCATACCTGTTAAAATGA